CCGGACATGAAGTCCAACATCTATTCCTGCTCGTCCACGATGAGGTCGATGTCTATCCCAGGCCCAAACCCAAAAGTTACATGTACATCTAAACAGCACCCCATGGAATCAACCTGACCTCTTTGTGCTAAACAACCTGCACTCCCACCCGCACACACCCCCGCACACACCCCCGCACACACCCCCGCACCCACACACACACACACACACACACACACACACACACACACACACACATACATACATAATGCTCCTAGTGCATCAAGGTTGTGGAGAGGTACAAAGATGCGAAAGGTGCTACACTAAACCCTCCAAACTCCCCAAACATCCCTAAACCCAAAAAACACCCGCGCAACGAATCTGCCAAGCTTTTTCGGCGCTGTCACACTTGCAACAATATGTAACGCAAAAGGGCAGCCAAATAGGGCAGCACACTGACGCACCCAGCAGCACCAGGTCTTTTACTCCCGGGGTTAGGATTCCGGCTGCATTTTGGCACCGACAAGGCCCCTATCAGAGTCAGACTTGTTGGCTTCGCAGAGAAGCCCTGGCTACCGTTCCAGCAAATAACAAAAGACTATGGTTTGTTAGCAATGCTCCTAGAACATCCCTGAACGCCTCTAAACTGCGTAGAAGGCTTCCGCAACCCCAGTCCAAGATGCAACAGATTCATTCGCCACAGGATGTACATGTCACTAGGCTTCGTTGCCCGTATCCATTCCAGGGATCTGCAAGGTGCGCTTCGTGTGACAAGCGTTAAACATCAGCAGTTGTCTACCGCCGCACCACCAAGCAGCAGCCAGGTAACCTTCGCACTACTTGGATGGCTAGACACAACGACGACAAAGAAGACGAGTAGCGGCACGTTTGGATATCGTCAGGATCGAGGCCAGCATGTTCTTTAAGCAGCTACATCCCAAGGGCAAAACAATCCTGAAGTGCTTCCATCGCGGCAGAGAAATCTGGGGAGACATGGCCGGATTCATGTCAAGCACTCAGTCAAAGACCTGCATCGGTAGGGTACCCCAAGGGAGGGAGAAAACACTGTAGAGAACTCACCACGTCTTGGTTCGAACAGTTGCCATTCTGCACTGCAAACGCACGCGACCTTCGCTGTAGGTGTAGGCACGTACCAAAGAAACAGCCAACAGCCAAGCAATGGTGCTGAGTTAGACTCTGGCAAACTCTGGCAAACTGCTCCGAGGATTGCTCGAATCCATTCTGCTACTTGCCTCAATGGTCCAGGGTCTTGAATTCACTGTTTGGAAGGGCCGTCATGCTGAAAGTAATTCCTGAATTCTTTGCACATTCACCGACAAGCCGTCGACAAGCCTCGCCACGATCAAGCACAAGAATACAATCAATCTGAACATCGCTCCGGCGTATGAAGGTTGTGAGTGAATTGCGTTGACCCTCGGACCATTTTGAGGAGTCCTGATGGCAAATGCCTCATAGCCTGCATTTTCGGCCGGGAGGCGCGGGAATCTGTTTTTGACTTGCTGCCAGCCGCTGTCGAGAGTGCCTTCGCCTAACACGGAAATGCCCAGGGAGCTGCCTGGAGGAATAACTTTGATCGAAAGCCTGTAGGCTGTGCTTCAACCACAGATAACGACAGAACCCCCAAGCCCAGGACCGAGAAGTACAAACCCTGAAAGTTGATGCTGAACTGGGCGCTCGAGGGCCCAAAAGGGCAGGCACTGCAGGCACCTGCTACTTGTGCCGATCGATGGGCTGGATACCCCTGATAACACTTTCACTTTACATATCGTATCCATGTTCAGCGTCATGGCGCCCGACTCGGCAACACAGCTGTCTACAGCGCACGTCTTGCGCAATCGGGACGCACGCGCGTCACCCCTGGCCGGGCAGAGCAGGGATCACATTTAGGTTGCATCTAGCTCCTGATTTGGGACTCAGTCTAGACATGACAGAGGAAGGGCAGTAGTGTCGAGCGGCACGCTCTTCCAACCCATGTGATTTCCATGCCCATGCTTCAGCGTGCCCGGCTTTATATGACTTATATATATATATATATATATATGTGGTACCCCCCCCCCCAGTTATCCACACCTTTTCTGCTTGTTTTGTGTTTTTCTTGTTCTGGCACGCGCATTTCTGTTTTTCGTTCGTGATTTGTTTTCTTTGTCCCAGCGTGTTGATTTACTTTTTCTTTCTTTCTTTATATCTGGTTGCTTATCTATATGTTCATATTGCACCAGTAGAGACCGGTACAAACCGGTACAAATCGGTACAAGTTGTACCGACCTAAGCCTCTGGAACCAAGAACCAAGAACCAAGATTGCAGGGAGGTCTTGCCCTACAATCTTGGTTCTTGGTTCTTGGTTCCATGGGGCCGGTACAACTTGTACCGATTTGAACCGATTTGTACCGGTCTCTATGTTGTCGCACCATACGAATCGGTACAAGTTGTACCGGCCCCATAGAATCAAGAACCAAGAACCAAGAACCAAGATTGCAGGGCAAGACCTCCCTGCAATCTTGGTTCTTGGTTCTTGGTTCCAGGGGTGGGGCCGGTACAACTTGTACCGTTTTGTACCGGCTTGTACCGGTCCGTGTGTCTCGACAAGTTTAAGGATTTCAAGGGCTTTAGAAAAGTTCAATGGGCCGGGCCTTTTCCCAAATACTATTTTGTTTCAAAATTTCAAGGGTTTCAGGACTTTACGGATATTGAAAATTTCACACGGGTCGGTCCTTTTCCAAAATATTTTAACGTTTTTCAAGATTTTACAGATGTTAAAGTATTTACGTGGCCGTTTACATTCCTTAAAATCCTTAGAATTTTGAAAGCCAGAGGCCTTTCAAAATCTTAAGGAGTTTGAAGTTTGAGGGTTTTAAAGAATTGAAGGGTCCTTTTACATTCCTTAAAATCCTTAAAACTTTGAAAGGGGAAACAGAACCATCAAATAGTGGGTAAAGGTGAGTCGTACACAGGGCTTTAAGGTTCTGATCCTATAGGCAATGCCTCCACCTTAAACCTTTGAACCCTCTAGGCCTTAACCCCGCGAGGGCTTTAGAGATAAACCTTCTGGGGTTTTTAAAGGTTTGAAGACCCAAGGTCTGGGCATGGTTACCTTCAGCGCCTACAGTTTTGGGTTAAAGCTTTTGAGGCTTTTGGAGCCCCATAGGCTTTCGGGGTTCTGACCCTGAAGGGCTGAGGATTTGGACTTAAATTAAATGCCTAAACCGCAAGCCCTTATGATTTAAACTCTATGGGCTTATAAACCTTGACGACCCCGAAACCTTTGACGATACCTGCTTCTTCTTTGCATTTCCACCAAGCCCTAAAAACAGAGGCATAACCATCTGGGATTTTAGGTTTAGGGATCGTAAAAACCTAAGGTCTGGGCATGCATACCTTCATCGCATGTGAGGTTAAAACTTTTGGGCCTTTTAGAGCCCTATAGGCTTTCAGGGTCTTGACCCTAAAGGGTTCAGGTTTAGATGCCTAAATCGTAACCCTTAAGGTTTAAACTCTATGGGCTTAGGTTTAAATACCGAGATCTTAAATCAACAAACCTATAAACCCTATAGGATTTAAAGGTTAAAGGTTTAGGTGTAATTGCTTAACCTTGAAACCCTATGGATCTAAAGGTACAGGTTTCAGGTTTAACCCTAAACCCTATCGGCTTTAAGCCTTAAACCCTACAGGGTTTCGGAGCGTCTCAGCGGAAGGGAGGGGAGGAGGTCGCTGTGCCCAGTGTTTGGACAGATGGAGAGGACTCAACATCTCAAGGATTGCATACATTCATACATTTACGTTATGTAGAGGACTGGGGGGGGAGGGGGGGGAGTTCAGGGGTCACCGCGGCCCGTGAACGATTTAATTGGCTCGCAACCACAAAAAGCGTGGAGAACATTGGAGAACCACAAAAAAGCGTGGATAACCCGGGGGCGGGGTAGCATATCTATACTACCCCCCCCCCAAAGATCCACCGGTTTAGAGACTTCCAATAGACAACACCGTTCCCGTAGCAGGTTTTCTCGTTTCTCCTGACGAGGCGTACAACCACCTGAAACATCCTGAAAAAAGCAAATACATCAGTAAAGTATCTAAACAAAACCTTCTGGCGTACGTACCCCTTTCACTAGTTCTTGGCTCCCGGGGGGTGGTCTGAATTTAACTTAAATTTTGAAATGCAGTTTTAAATGCAGCCCAGCCCCAGGAACCAAGATTCCAGAATCAAGAGTCCGGGGCATCTTGGTTCTTGGTTCTTGGTTCCTGGGAGTGGTCTGCATTTAACTTAAATTTCTAAATGCAGTTTTAAATTCAAAGGGTCGTGTCCGCATTTAACTGAATTTTTTAAATGCGGCTTAAATTCGCGGGGCCTCGGTCAAGTAAATTAAGGTAATGGTGTCGCGTGTCGTTCATCATCATGTGTTTGGTTATTAAAACATAGAAAAAGTACAGTAGCACATCAACAACACAGCAACAACACATCAACAGAGGGAACAAAAAGGAAAAAAGGGTGGATCTTTGGGGGGGCGGTACCATATATATATAGAGAGAGAGAGAATGCTGTCCAGGAGGCCTCCACACCTTCTGAGATGGTCATACCGAGTCATACTGCAACCAAAACTGATCGAAATTACACCGAAGTGCAGGAGCAACCATGCTGTCAAAACAACTGGCTTTCTGTTGGCGATGTTTATGAACAGGCACTGAACCCCAAAAGATCCCAGAAGAGTAAGAGGTGCATGGATCGTAGGCAGGTCCGATGCTAAGGGCAGCCTCTACGGTAAGAGGAAAAAGGATTTCAAAGCGGACAAGGAACTCTCGTCAAACTCTGCAGCTTAAGCATGGTTTTGCTGCACTGCATGTCGTCGAGCTAGGCTCCTTCCAGCTCCCTGAATCATTTAGAGAACAACGTTCACATGTTGAGTGCATCGGCCGCGATTCAATAAGTCCGCTCTTTGCCGCTGCCCCTGAACCTAGTAAATCGAAAATCCCGAAGCAGACCCTTTCCCTAAGACGCCTCGAGTCAATTTGTAACTCCATCGGCTTTGAGCACCTCCAGCGCCTGGCATGCGTCTGGAAAAGGGGCGTCGATGGCACTTGGAGTAGGAGGTCGTCTCCAAGCTTTCGGGAGCAAAGTTGAGCAAAGAGCCAAAGAGCGAAAAAGATCATATGTTTTCTCCTCTTTTAACCACAGCTTATTGGCTTCCCGAATCTCTCTCTCAGGCTCTCGCCTCCTCGACTCTCCTTTGCAGCTCTTGCGGGTCTGTGAGGTTCAACACCAGTTCCTCAGCGAGACGCACTCTGCCACGCCACGGACCCTTCCAAGCTTGCAAAGCTTACAAGATTGCCGCGGCTCAAAGCCCAGGTCATCTGCAAAGTGTTGAGGCCCCTGGCGTTCTGCGGCAGCTCCAGCAACATGCCTCTCAAGTGACTTGAGCGAAAAGAAGAAGAATGCCTGTCACGCGAACACCAAACCTGCGCAACCTCAGGGCCCAAACGCATGCTAGACTTTTGAGCTTCGGCTTAAGGATCTTAAGGGATTTGCAGCTCAAGAATGTTGAAACGGCTTCAGGGCACAAGCCCGACGGAAAAGCCCGACGGAATATCATTCCATGTCATTCCCCTTGTAGGTTAGGCACAAAATCTGGATATAATGACTCAGAATCAGAACACCCCAAAGGCCTGCATGGCCTGCCAAGCCGGCTGACATGCGGAAGCAGACCCCACATCCCAAACAAGCCTGCGTCAAGCCATGTAAAGCCCTTATCCTTCTTCTTCCCCGTAGACCCTCAGCCGCATGTCATGCGTGCACCTGTAATCTTCTGAGCCAGGTATGGGCTTGGAGCCAGCGGCAGAACCTGGCAAGCGAGGCTGCAGTGTAGCTTCAGAGATCTCAAGGGCTTAGGGGTTTAGGAATGGCCCGAAACATCCTAAACCTCAAGCCTTCGAAGCTCTTGGGCCCAACTTGGAACCGTACGAGCTTCAGCTGAGGCAGGCACCAATACGTACAGCTGCTCGCCATACATCTGCCTCTGCATCTCCTGGAGGCCGACTTTGCCGCCGGCTCGTTTTGGGGCCGTTTATTTAAAGCTTAGGGGCCTTAGGGGCTTTGCATCCATCATGCTAGTAGACTTACTTGCCGGCGCCATTCCACACCAAGCTCCAACTCCTAAACCCTTATCTGCGAATGCTGGTGCGCCCTGAGCGCACAACAAACACACCCATGGAAGCCGAGCACCGAAGCCCAAACAGAGCGCCGCCAAATTACCGTTTGAGGCTGAGGTTCATGTCAAAAACCTCAAATTGACTCAAACCGACGCGACGATACATGCAAAAGCGAGATTCAGCGAACCGTTACTTTCTTGGCCTCGGAACCCGGCTGCATGGCCGCTGGAGGCGGCGCCGTGTACACGGGCATGGGCGGAGGGGGCCTTGACTTTCGTTACGACATGCGTCATCCAATGCGGAAGTGCCTCTCTATAAACGATCTGTGTCCGCCAGGGATTTTGGCAACGTTAACAACTAAAGATGTAAGTTCCAGTGTCAACTGCCTGCTGACATCGCATGTGCGTCCAGACAAGGCACGGCATCTGCATCAAGGGAACTCCAGGAACTCCCTGCGAGAACCTGAAGCAGTACAAGTGGCGGGCCACTCTCACATCGGGTCGCGAGAATTTACATCATCCATTGTGGACGCTACATAGCGAGAAAAACACATCAGCAGCGGAATTGCATTTCACAGCAAAGCAATCCCCCCACGTAGACGCTGGATTCAGGCATGCTGTGGACGCCAGAGTTTTTGGCACGTACAATATGTTAAATATGTGTCAGAAGCTCATCACCATGTAGACGCTGGAAAATCAACCGACTGAGGAATCTCTACTTCGATCAAGCCTAAATGGCGACTGCTAGGGGGGTTGGTCGAGTCGTCGCGGCGATCAGTGTGACGGCGGCCCCAGCAATCATCCGTCGCTTAACTTGCAGCTCCTGACATGTAGAAGCCGACTTCGGCACATCGCGATTCCCAATGTGGACACCGATCCATCGGGGTTTGGGCTTGGGGTGTAGGGTTGCAACAGTACCTTACCGCGTCGTCGCAGCAAGCAAGATGTATACACCGTGTTAACTGCATATTGTACCTTTTCCACAGTTAACACTCAGTTAAGTTAACACTCAGTTCACACTACAGTTAACACTACACGTAGCACTACAGTTAGCACTTAGCACTGCCGAAATGCTGCAAAAAAACAGCATTTTGCTGGAAACACGTTTGTAGAAGAAGCAAATTACTGTTTTTATTGTCTTTAAGAGGAAAATGCGGGCTTTCCCAGCATTTCGGCAGCGTTAACTGTAGTGTTAACTGAGTGCGAACTGAGTGTTAACTGTACAAAGAGTGCAGGAATCACACTCATCCAGAGTACACTGGAGCGCAACAGGCGGAGTCCAGTGGAGCAGAGTGGAACAGACAACTTGGATCGAAGTGGAGTACCCGTCGTGCAATGGAAAAAAACATTTCGTGCTCGAACGGTTTTGGGCTCTCCTGGTAACATTTCCGACCCCCCAAAATCGTTCCACGAAACCGTCGGTAGCTGACGCAGCGCCCCCGCTTGGAAGCAGGGCCGTGTTTTGCTCTGCAGCTACAGGGGACTCTGGCAGTTTGGTGATGTCTAGTAAATACACTGGCTGCTTTAGTCATCTCAGCAAAAGGATCCTGTCGGTTGATGGAGGAAATCTTGCACCACCTAATGAATAACAAGTGACACGACACATCAGCATAACCCCGCACCCCCTTTTTCATATTGACGATGATGGATACCGAGGTGGTGCAAGATTCTTGTCATTGGAACCCACGGCACTTCCGAGGATCAACAATCAGTATTTAAAAGGGGGGGGGGGGGGGGGGGGCGGGGTCTCTACCTTGGTTGGCCATTCCAAGCAGTGCAAGCTTTCCTCCATCAACAGAAGCACTGCCAACATCTGCCAACATGCACAGCGCCATGCAGGCGCTGTGTAAATGACGCCGACTTCGACGCATCAAGAGATATAATCTGGGAATGCAGTTCCCCAATGTGAACACCGATAGATGCGCAAAAAAACCGAGCGATGTAAGATAAAGAGACTACGGGGAAGCTCACAGCCAAACTTCGGAATGGCCTTGCCTCAATCGCAGCTACTTTGCAGCTTTAGGGCCGAAGGCGTCGCTGGCAAAGAACAAGGCTGAAGTTGGTGCACTTCCTGTAGCAAGAACCCTTCGCTGTGATCCCCAGACCCCAAAACCCGACGCCCAATATTGCAAGACCCAAAGTTGTATGCGGCCAGGCTACGGCACAGCGGGCCCTGCCACCTTGCCGAAGCCTGGGTGCGCTTTTTGAGCACGATGGGATGACGATGGGATGATGCTCTATAGACTGGGCTTAGCGTGCTTGTAAGCCGTATTCTCCTGGACCTGCAAAAATGTCAGAGTATCAGCACACATGTTTAAGTTGGTCGTGAGACAGCAGCGCACAGTAGTCACGGCTGCATTGCCGGCCAATTCTGATACACCCCGACATGTACCCCCCAACTGCAGCCGCTACTGGAGCAAGCTATCGCATTGCACCATGATCAAGCCTTGAAGCCGGGCATGAGCATCGTGAGCATTGTATAGCATTGTATAGCATTGTGTAAAGAGTGACTAATGATCCGAACCCCGAAACGCTATCAAGCAACTTCTCATTCTAACCGGAAGCAGTGCATTCCTGAGGCCGCCACCCTTGCCTTTCCCCTGGCACGACGGGGGCACGTCCCATGCTCTGCAACTGCCACTCTTTCAGGCCTGGCTTTGAGACTCTGACCTTCCGGCTCAGGTAGAGTTCAGCGTGTAATGGATGAGCGGCGCCTTTTTCCCCTTGCCTTTGTAGCCATTGCTATCTCCAGGCCTCAGTGTGCATTGGGCAAGGTGCCGAGAAACTGTGCATCCACAGTGAACCTGCAGGGTCCCACTACACACCTCGGTGGAATGGCACCAGATCTAAAATCAGTCTGAACACAGCTCCACACAATGCCAAAATCCCTGCAGAGCCTGCAATAGCCTGCACTTCTCAACTGCACTTCTGAAAAGCGCACTTGACTCAACTTTCCTGACTTCTCACTTGGGTCGCGGCCCCCAGCCGTCCTGGCGCGGTGCAGTTACACTTTCTCGTGGGCGGACTTCAAAAGCTCTGCACTTCGAAAAGCGTTGGCGCAAGGACAGCGGCTGCAGAGCTACGCGAACCCACTGACATTGCGGCTCTCACCTTAAGGCCGCCTGCATATGCCTAGCCTTTCTAAGCCCTAAAGACTCGTGCCTTTCCGCGGCCCTTGTAGCCATTGTCCATGGACCTCGAAGCACTGTGTCTGCCGCTCGGGCTTCATCACGGCTTCATCGCGGCTTCAACGCAATGATTCGAGAAAGAGGGCTCCATGTCAGCATGCCGGAACCTTTCCAGGCTATTTCATGCGGTTACACTGTTATTCCTGGGGTTTGTAGTTGACCGCGCGAAATTAGATAATTTTATGGGCTCTTTTGTTCCTTTTTCCTTGTTCCTTTCGTTCGATATTAAATGACTTCGCGCGTTTCCTTGAGCTACGGAAAACGCCTTGAAACCCCCCCAACTGCCACCATGTTGCGGTCCGCCCCAGTCCTTGCAAAACGCAGAACTCACACTTGGGGATTCCGAATGACTGATCCCGAGAGGCTCAGGACAAACTTGAACCCCCAAACGCGCGAAGTTGCAACACAGAAGTGCCCCAACGTGTTTGGACAGCCTTAACAATAACACAGTAAAATGTCCTTGGATTTGCCCTTTCCCTTCCGCATGTCGCCATTGAGAATGGGCCTGGTGATGTTGAAGCTTGGCAGGCACAGGCTTGTTTGAGGCCCCCTCAACTTCAGGCTATAAGGTTTAGGGTTTAGGCATAGTGCCCCAAGACAAGTCCGGAAAGCCTAAACTTTTTACAGCTTTGCTGCTCTCAGGTATTCAAGCCGCAGAGCCCCCTCTCGAGAGGGCTTGCCAGGCTCAGAACGTTCAGAAATATTCAGAAATATTCAGAAGGGGTCAGGCTTCAAGTTTGTGGGGGGTCTGAAACTGTTACGTCTCTTAGTCTAGGGGCTTGAAGCCTCGCACCTGAACACCCCTGATCCGCAAACTGCGGATGCTAGAAACCCTTGAGCCCATGAGACCGTCTTGGGCCCAACCTTTCTTTCATTTTGGGCTTCAGCTCAGTGGAGGAGCTTGTGCCGACCCCTGAACTTTTCCTGAGGGGCGTTCTTAAGTTTAGCAGGAGGCCGAGCCTTTGCGGCTGGCTGCCCTTCGGCCAGATCTCAGCCTGGCTCTAAGCCAGGAACAGCCATCGCGTCCAGACTTCGGTGCACATGCTTTGCAGCTGGCATTCCCCTTCACAGGCTGTCAGGACTCCTCCTCATTAGGTTCCCCTTTCTGACAGGCCTCGCACCAAATAGATATATCCCTTCTCTACCGCTCATTGAATTCCACAGCCCAACAACAGCCACGGTGAAAGTAGTGCAGGGAGCGACGGGATCCATCCGGCCAGCCAGGAAATCAAGGAATTTGGCAACCTGTCATTCTGCGCTTCAGGGTTGAGGGGCCATTAGCCCTCGAAGACGAAGACGAGGGCCCTGGAAAGTGGTGCAGAACTGCCACAAGTGAAAACTGTATGCTCATGGTTCATGTACTGTTAGCATCCGTCGCCTTGAGCATGTTGCTGAGCAGGTCGCTCACCTCCTGAGGATCCACACCCCGCAGGACGCCGCATGGATTTCGGTGTGTAAATGCGCTTTGTGTCGACATACAAGGCCTAGAACACTACAAAGGGGCCCACACTTTACAAGGACCCCTTGAGCCCTCGGCCAGCCCTACAGACTAAGTCCTGGAAACAGAAATCACTTGTGCTAATGTTGGGCCGAGGCTCGAATTTTGCCTCTGGGGCCAGGTCCTCACCAGGAACCTCGAGGTATCTCGAGACTCTCTCGAGACTCTCGAGATTCGGGTTCGGTTTAAGCACTTTCCTGCGAAAGCCCGAACCCCAAACCTTCAGTGAGCACGGCAGTTGCAGTTGGCCGAATACCATCCCGAAGCTCTGAGATATTTTTACCAGAAGTGACCCTTGCTTTGGGCTGTGGATACTTGCTATGACTAAATCTTCTGAAGGCGCCCCCCCCAACAACGAAAAGCTCAGCATTCCGGCCCACTCCAACAGATCTATTTGCTTCTTCCACCTCAGCTCTGGAAGGTTCGACTTTGGCCGTGGAGGCTAAGGGTGTTTCCCTCAGCTTCTGTCAGATTCAGCGACAGAAGCTGGAAAGAAGATCGTGCACATTCCCACAAGTACTGGTCCTGACCGAGCTGGCGACTTTTTGACGCCCATGGGCAATATTCTGTACTCCGAGTCTGCGCCAGGGCTCGCCTGACACGGTTCTTGCGAGATCAGGTCTAAAGGCGTGTAAGTTGAGAGCGTATGGTTCGTGCGCGTGGCACATGCTCGGCAAGGTTGTGGCCTCTTTGGCCTCGGCAAACTTCTCTGGAAGATCGTCCAGACTCCCATCCTCAACCTGCAGCGCACAATTTTGGCCCTACGAGTCCCGACGAGTGCTTGGCGGCTTGGGGGGCATCGTGAGCCTTCCAGGTGCCCTCAAGGCCGGGCTTTGAACTGGTTGCAGCCCTCAAATCCCCTCAACCCCCATGAAGGCTCTGCACAAGGAGGGTTTTACGAGCAACGACTGCAGAATATGCGAACGCAATTGATAGAACTTGGTTACGAGCAGCTGGCCTCCACGAGGATGAGAGCATACTTACCCAAAGGATACCTGGAAGGAATGACAGCAGAGTCTTCTGACAACACTTCTCCAGCACAATCAGCCAGATTGAGTTTTCACAAAACACATTCCGAATACTCCTCTGGCGCCGGGGTAAATAGTAAGGGTACCGTGCCACGAGCAGGACTTGGCCCATGTGGAGTTGCTGCCATGAGCGAGCTAGATGTTGAGATATAAATTCGCCTAAGGCAGCAACAGTGCCAGCCCTCAACCGCAGCCTTTGCCGTGGCACCATTCAGTCCTACCGCCATGAAATCGATGCTCTGGAGATCCACGTTCACAGCCTGTACTATGTACTCGACCCCATGTGTCTGAGCCCGCGTGCCACATGTAGAAGCCATTGGGTATCATGTTGTGCAGCACCTCGTCTGTAGGAGCCTGGAGACGTCTTAGACTCCCGGGCAGCTTCTCGATGAAATCGTTGGTCTGTTCGAGGGAGCCCAAACCAGAGAATGGTACTCCAGAGGAGCTGCAACCACTGATAATCCAAACCTGATTCCACACATTGTGCTCTTAAGCTGAGCCTGAGTCCAGCAGTCCTGGGTGAACCATTTAACAGCTCTGAAAGCACAAAGTACCCCCTCGAAGACGCCAAGAACTTTCCGCCTGTCTGAGCCCACTGCTGCCTCGAAGTCACAGACGGCTTCACGAAAACACCTCTGCTTTCATCAAAGCACTCTGAGCCTCCGAGAACTACAACCGAAAAACCCCTAACCCCCCTAAGCAAAGGAAAGGCAGAGATTCATCGTCCGGAATTCGCTCATGGTCACGAGGCCAAGATTTCAGCACTTGTCGCAGTTAAACCAACAGTTCGTCTTTGTCGTCTCACTTGCGATGTTTCTATGCTCTTCTTGCGGCAATTACTTGCGCAGGTGTGCCTCACTGCGGTCACCTCTACGGATCGCTCCTGGGGGCCAGCAGAAGCAAAGCTGAAGAGCACCGTGACAGCATGTTCACCCATCCCATCAACTCAACTCCAAGAGCAGGGAGCAAACCTGAGTGCCAACAAGTAATTCGCCTCGGCTTCCTGCCGAGAAGCGTCTGGAACAAGCAGACCCGGATCGGGCCTCCTCCCTAACCCTTCCCCCGATGCAAAATTTTGTGACGGACCCCCCCCCCCCCCCGGTCCCGCCTGTCGGCGGCTTCTACAGAGGGGGTGCTCCAAAAACGCGCGAACTTGGCTGTTTTGGGACTTTTGAGCCGGACCCTTCTGGGACCCCCGGCCCGGCTGCCGAGGCGGCGCGCGCAAGCGTTTACAATTACGTAATTTGCAGCACCGGATTTACAATGGAATTTTGCGGAAGAACCGCGCTCCAAGCCACTCACGTATCCAGATCCAGAGGCCAGGAGATTGCGGGCACAACGAGCGCCATGCCCTGAGCCTATACACGGGCTGTGAACCTCAAATACCAAAACCCAAGTCTTAGACTGGGGCTTGGGGAGGAGATGCGAGCGCTCCTGACGTGAAACGCGCTTGCCGCCGAAGATGTTCCAGGCTAATGGATCCTCGGGTAGTGCGCCCACGTCACTGGCCCCGTAGTTGGAACACTTGGACGACATGGGATGATTGCCATGCTGATCTTGTTCCTCGAGGCTTTGGTTTTGTTGTTAGCAATTAGCAACCCTTCCACAAAACCCGGAAGGCTTGAAAAGAATGGAAAGTTGGACTTGGACAGGCTACCACACAGATTTCACAAGAACTTCCGCGTATTCCTACCGGATGCTGAGTCCTATCGTTCGATGGTTTAGGACAAGTGGGATTTTGGGCACAGGCTGTACTGCGAGAAAGGCCTCGGGTGGAATGAGGGCTTGCATTTTGATGCCTTGTCCTCCAATACTGACTAGAGCTGAGCTTACGCCTTGGCCGCAGAGTTCTACTGCAAAGCCTGGGCCCCCCAATGAATAGATCACCTGGGATATGCTCTGCACAACGAAGAAGCACATTCTTACAAATGCTGTAAGCGTGTCTTCGGGTGCGAGGTTGTCTTTCTCAAAGTCTGTGCTCTGAGGCGGCGAAAAAAGCCGAAGCTCACAGCACAGGTGCATGTCTAAGTTCACAGAAAGACCCGACGCATCCATGCAAAACGGAAGAAGTGATTCAGACAAACCCGTGGTGAGATGTTGCCCTATCTTGTGCTTGAGAATTTTGGACAAGCTGAATTACCCTAGAGTAGTGTCCCGAAGTCAGGCAATGCATCAGCTGTAGGAGTCCACCTTCAGAATACCGTCATGAAACTTCTTCCAGGATGGTGCAAAGCATGATGCGGGAACACATCGACCCCCGAATCGCAGACGAGCATCGTATGCGTTGATGAATGAATTCCACGGCTTCTCACCTCAGGCGTGCAGAAACGGAGTGGGCAACAGCATGACAATATATCACGTTGTTGCACAAGAAGTTGTCAAGATCAAGATGCTCAGAATATTCCACCTTGTCTGATGGTTCAGAGTGATTTGGCTCTGGCACTGAGAATGAGACCAGGGAAGTATCACTCTAGTAGCTGCCCCGCCAATTGGCTTTGGGCCCGGGCGTGCGAGCAGCAACTCGACACCCCCGGGTCTCTTGCGATACCTCAGCCATGGAGCTTGGAGCTACACCGGCGAAACGCTTCAACACATTTCAAGGTATCAGGGCCTTGCATGGTAGGGGTTTAGTCTTGGGCTTGAGGGCAAGACCAACCAACAGCTACGGTCCCACGTTGTTCTATGACGTGAGAATACTGGACTCTCATGGACTCTCATGGACTGGTAGGCCTGACACGGCTTGCTGTTGTAGGTGTTGTACTTGCGGCCCAGGTTGCGGCACGAGGCCCGCAGCCGAGTAATGCTCTGCATCGAGCGGCCGCAGATTCTTGTCCACATACCTTTTTGGCAGATGCATGCTTTGCTGCCTTCTCGTGTGTATAGTGTACACTGTATGTTGCCCGAATGCGTTGAGGCACGGATGCCAATGTCAACTGTTGATGGCCTTCATGGAAGGCTTAAACCTCAGCAAGTCCTCCCAACCTGGCCCCAACCCTCAGTATATCTCAGCATTGGCAAGGGCACGCGTCGGATGAGAGGCCGCCTGGGCACCAGCAGCAAACCGAATATGTTTGACACGTTCTCTCTCTCTCTCTCTCTCTCATGTTTTTCTTTCTTTCTTTCCTTCTGGAGGCATGGGGGCGAACTCCGGGGCGTCTGCGAATCGGGGCCACTCGGTTGGAACGACTGAGGCACTGATGGGGAAGAAACACCTCCGGACCTCACCCGTGCCCCCACGCAAACCTGTCCCCCCATGTGCCTCAGCCAGGCGACTTTGCGCGCAAAAGCAAGTGGCGGGTTGTGAGGTGAAAACGCGCACCTCTATCTGATTGGAGCGAGAAACTGGTCGGCCCCGCCCTCGTTTTCTCTCTCGCTCTCTCTCTGCCTCTCTCTCTGGAGGCAGTGTTCCTACGCACCCTCGCTGACAGCCTTCGCTAAACAAAGGCCACTAAAAGGCCGACCATGAGCACAGTCAGGAACGAAGAGAGCATGTTTAATCGCAGTAGTCTGGATGGCAAATCGCTCTCGCGAGTCCCCGCCTGGTTGCATGCTGTACATGCCGACGGTGCCCATGCCACCCATGCCACCCATGCCACCCATGCATCCCATACCTGGGAGGAGTTGGGCAGAGCTTTTGCCGCCCTTGGTTCGGAAGGAACTTGCATGGGGCCTGACCGACCAGAACGCCGGAATCCCTACAATAGCTGTAGCCTTCTTCTACGCTTGGAGTGAACATGTACGCATGATGTGGCGTGAAATCTTCCCGCCGTGCCGCCGCCGACATTGGGCATGGGAGACATGCCTCTCAAGTGCAGATGTCACGATTCGAGATGCTTTGCCTGGAGCCTGGGTCAGAGATTTCTTCGAAGTTAGATGACAGCTCGGCGTTGAACAATTGGGAGGATCGAGGCTCTGCAAACGACATGGGCTAGGGTTGCAGGTGCTTTGGCAGTCCCCAAGGTGTAGCCCTGGAGAATGCGGAAGCGGCCACATCCCAAAAGGACCGTTGCTTGCCAGCACAGCAGCCACCACCACAACCGCCATCACGTCGTCCACGTATGCAAGTGTGAAGGCACGTAGGTAGGTATGGGTGCATGCATGCATACAGGTCACCGATGTATGTACTTTTATGCACACATGTACGTTTACATCTGAGTAGATGTGTGTGTGTGTGTGTGATGTGTATAAATATTATATATATATATATATATGCATATATACATATGTATATTCATATATGTTTCTTTTGCATTGTTTGAATATTTGCACAGACGTGTCCCCGGACAGCTAGAAATCCTGAAACCGCAAACCCCAAGACAGGCCTCCCATGCCGGGGACCATGCCACCGACGGGGATCATTGCAGGGCCCGGCGCCTCGGTCGCAAAGTGTCAATTGGCTAATTAAACCCAGTTAAACAACTCTCGGGTTTTTTGCATGGGGGGATTTGGGGGGGCGGTGTGGCTTGCCCCTGCTGACGAACAATCACCTTTTCGGTATGGAGCTTGGAGAACCTTGCAGACTTCGGCTTCCAATCTTGGCCTTAGCCTTCCAGGATCTTGCAAAGGTTCCTTGGTCGCCAGTACCCAAGATGTACCCAAGCGGTCGGCCGGTGCCAACATCGGCAGACGGGCGGCGCACGACCCAGGAGGGCCCCACTGGAGCCTAAAGTTACGTGGCTGGAGCTCTACAAGAGGCCCCTGCTCTTTAGGCTCGAAGTCAAAACAGGGTCAAAGAAAGACATGAAAGGCAGAGCGACGGGCTGTTGCGCATGATCAAGCAAGGCAATCACAAAACCAGAACAAGAACAGCCTTCACAATAAGTACTCGGAGCAAAGTCGCAGGCTGGAGTGCATATGGTTCTGAAACTTGGTTGTGGAGCTTCAGACAATCAGGTCTCAAAATGTGGGATGCGGCTTTGGGGTGCCATGTGTGCCGGGGTTGAGGTAGACTACGGTAGAGATGAAGAGGGAGCGGGCTGGCGTCCTTGTGCTGCAGTACTGCAATGCAATCATGCTGCTGCACACGCGTTCCAAAGCGTATTGAAGTGCATTGTGCTACTGTACTTTGTCGGCTCCAACAGTAACATCCCAGAATCGCACTCCAAGAATAAGAGCAGTGAGCTCGTGCTTGCGTGTCGGATCGCCCAACTGGCGAGACATTGGCAGGAACAGCAGAGCGTCTCGTTTTGCATCGCTGCTTCTCCAGCAGCTCCCAAGGCTTGTCAGCTCACAGCAGGGACGTTTGCAGACCCTCACAGGTAAAGGGAAGGACGTGAAGGTTCTTTCGGAGCTAGCAGGGATTTCAATGGCCAAGCGGCCTCATCGCCTGAGGAATCAGTCTGAAGGGCTTGGCCACTGATGGGAAGACACTTCTCTAGCAAGTCACTGTTCCCCTTTTAGAATCTGAAGTCTGGAAGCATGTTGATGCCTGGTCCTTTCGTTGGATCTCCGGAACTGATGCATCAGCTGTGCCAAGGATTTCTTCGCTGAGTCCATGCTACCTCAGCACCAATGTTTAAAGCATCCTCGGGCGGAAGAAGCTTCCATCCGCACCTCCGACTGACCTTTTAAACCACGAGATCCTGAGCAACCGAGAAATCAAGTTTGAGCTTGGCATGATACTAATGGGATGGCAGGTCCAGGCTATCTGGCCTCCTCAGCTGCACTGCCTCCCCGCAAATGAATTGCGTTCAAGTATAATTTACTGGTATAAGATTTTTGCACAACAGTGAGAGTGTTGAGGCGAACCCGACAAGAGAAAACTCGCTGAAGCCCCTTTGAAGTCAGGGCTTAGGGCAGTCTAAGGCCAGTCGGAGAGGCACTCAGCTGCCAATAAAACCGCAGCGGTCGTCATGCCAGCCTGGAACAGAGTGGCCCCGGACGATGGGAGTTGGGGCACTTGACAGGGAGGGACCCGAGTTTTGGATGCTTTGGGGGTCTTCGCGGGGTGTGGCTGTCCTTTCGCGGGTCTTTCGCGTGCCTTTCGCGCGGTGGCAGTGGCAGCAGCTGGAATACGACTAGTACTTGTAGTACCAGTAGTACTAGTTCCTAGTTTTGCCAGTACTGGTACTGATGATCAAGTCTGCTACATAATAACTTGTGCGGAGTATAGCTTTCCTTTCACGGACAAAGTGCGCGGTCGCATCGCTTTATATCTCAAAACTGTTTACATTTATCTGAAGCCAAGGACATGGATCTTAAGATCAACCCTCACGTGCATGGGGTAATGGGGTAATAAGGATGCAAGACGGACCTTTAACAAAAAAATGGGTGCCTGTGAGTATTCTGACGTATGCTTGAGCTGGTCAACACTGCACCCAGACACCCGCTATCCCTACACGGGATGCAACTCGAAGGGTATTGTGCCCAACCCCCTTCTGCACCGAAAACAACCCGCACCGCCCGGAGCCTGCGCGAAGCTCTGCGAGGAAGCCTACTTGCGCGTTGCTTGCAGCAAGCAGGTCGTCCTGGCTTGGAGGTCTTGGAGTTCTTGGAGTCTTTTTATGCGCTGAACAGAGGCTCACGTACAAGAGAAAAGCATCCCATCATCCCATCGCCTGAGACTTGGAGCTTCCGATTGTCACGATGGCTTATGGCACACAGTACTACCCATATTGACCCATGGAAAAAATCAAGTCTGCATGACAAACTTTGAAAAGCGCGTCGCGCATGGGCTCGGCATGGGCTCCACAGTCATGGACAGAGACAAACTCATTCTGATTCATAGTGATACCATCTGAGGAAATCGTTTGCTCTGTACTGCTTCCTTGAAGTCAACCGCGCCCTCTCTACGCAACTTTGACTTTAACGGTGTAGCGACTCTGCCCAAGTTGCCCGTCTCTCGCCCATCTCCCCCCGTCTCCAGCTGCCTTCTTGTCAACTTCGGGAGATTGCATCGACAGCCTCTGCGCACAGTAGAGACATTCTGACCGAGTTCCGTTGCTTGTTTAGGGGGTGGGGAGGCTTGGAGAATCCATCCTCAACCTGCGAGCCTGAAATCGTATCGTAGACCCAAGTCATCCCAAGTCCGATCTTTTGGCCCCCACTCAGGTGAGACTCCCGAAGACCTCCGAAGCCTACAAAGAATCGGCTTCTGGTGGTCACAATTGGGCCCCAGACGGTGGCAGGTGACGCGACAAGCTTCCCCCAGCCCGGGCAGCGGTGGCCAGAACCTCCGGGGGGCTCTTAAAATTCATCTCAATTCTTGCTTTGCTGCTGTTGGGAATCACCCCTCAAGCTTGAACTCGGCCTCGTCACTGTGAAGCTGGTGGCCCGACTGCCCCAGTGCCTTTCAGGGGTGGAATGCGTTCGGGGACAGATAAAGACGGAGAGTCCGGATTCGCCATGCTGGGTGGTCTGTAAGACTTTGTAGATCTTGGGGGCTCGAGGTTATAGGGACCGGATTCAGCAACCCGCTAGACAAGCCAGAAACTCCACTCGCACGTCGCACAAGGCGGGGGATAGGAATCTGTGCCAAGGGTCATGAGAAGCGAGGGTGTCGAATGTGTCTGTCCTGTTACGATCTACAACATGAATGACATGAACCCACGGCTGATCTTCTTCAAGTAGGTAAAACTACAGAGGGTAGCCAACTGCAGGCCAAACTACTTGAATCCAGCATCCCTATCCTGAAGCCGATTGACTCGTAACAAAGGCGCCCGCAATCCTGGATGGTTTTTCAATTGCAGTGTTGAGAGCCCTCGGCGTAAATCCGCACCTCTGAGCCCCCCAACGCTCGAGATCGAACTTCTTCAGGCAGCGAGTGCAGGATTCAATCAGATGCTGGTGCCTAGACCCTTCATAAGTCTCACATCAAGTCCACGTTCCGTGTTCAGGCACGAAGGGCCCCAAACTGTCGTAACAACGTGTCGAGAAAGGCCCAACATGGCGCAACATGGCCCAACCAGCCCGACCTCCAACAGCTTGGCTGCGCTGCCAGCAGCACTGGCGACCTCTGGTGGAGCAACGTCGCAGAGTCCGCGATTCACCAGATGCAAACCTTTTGCCTACCACCACCCTGCTCCCCCCTCAGGTTCAAAACTAACAAAATCACCGAGAGTATCATGAATTCCCCAGCCCGTTTCGCGCGTGTTGCACGCAAAGTGTGCGGCTACGATCGGGCCCCAAAGGTGCCCCCATCCAGTTAAGCGTGCAAATCTCAACATCCAAACCGTCATGGAACCGCTTAACCCCAACCGCAATTGCGAATAGTACACAAGGAAAGCCTGAAAAGGTGTTGACTACTGAGCGTGCGGCCACGGGAAACTCAAACTCTTCGTTCCAACACACCTCCGACGTTTTCAGCACCTGACGAGATTCCGCCCCAATCTCTCCCCCAACTCCTCGAACTGAGTCTAGGCCGCTCTGAGGAATTTGTGAAGCGGTGCAGCCCACAAGCCTCGTGGGTGCGCTGGCTTGCCGTGTGCAGGCCTAGGTCCCCAGCTCTTTGAGACTCACGCAACACCAAAACAAAATCTTGAGGGAAAATTGAGAGGTCAGGGAACATGACAGTTTTCGACCTTAACGTGCACAGGCTAAGATGATTGAGGCACGGGCTTTCTGGCTTTCGGGATTTGAGTCCACAACTTTCAAGACATAAATCAAGGAAGGTAAGTCTGAACATGGCTGTGGAGGCGTCTTGATGCACAGCAGAGACGTCTTGATGCACAGCAGAGAACAAGTGCGGCAGCATCGCAGGTCCCGCTGCCCACTCTCAAGCTCAGAACTAGCATAACATGCCCCAGGAAACCAGCCAAGCCGATTGACTCCTCCTCCGTCTCCGCCGGCCCAG